AATCATTTTCATGAAGCGGAGAGAAACCTTTACCACTTAGATTTTATTGGTGTATGTGTTCCTATCCATGTGAATTTATCAAAACCATAATCACAAGACAAGGTTTGTGACAAATCCAAACTCATATTGGCTCAACTAGTTCAATCTCAATTTCCTGCCATCTAGTAGCACAAGGGTCATACCATTGCTTCCATGTTGTTGAGCAGCTCATCCTTACAGATCAATGTACTTTCCATTGATTAAGGGCTTTGCCTTATGCAATCAAATGAGAGCTCACATGCATAGTCAAATTAACTGGAATAGGCACATAAATAAGAATATGTCAACATGATAGGATATAAACCTCAAGTCGTGTGCTAGTGATAAACAAATAGGTTTTTTCTTGATTAGTTCTTGAAGTTATTCAAGATCATTAAGACTCCCACTGACCTCTTGACATATAAGATTCTTTTGTCAATAAACATTCATTGACAAACAATTATTCAAGAATTAGTGTGAGACCTGAGCAAGCCAACACTTCATGTAATTGGTCTTAGTTGATCTCTGTTTTATCAAAACATCACAACTTCCAATTTTAAATGTGCAAGAGTAGGAAACATTTCTACCTCACATGTCATGATGTGTTATAAACCTACTTAAGATTATGTCACTCAATGTACAATCTTGGAGTATGACTCTAAGACTCGATTTTGGAACGAAGTATGACTCACCTTTTTTATTTAACCATTTCAACAATTCTTGATTCATCTTCTTAGTCATGCAAGTGCACTAAGGTGTCCTTAGAGGATCAATTGAGATATGGCTCCATAATCATTAGGATGATCATAAAACACGATACTAAAGTTCTTTTCTTTCCTTTCAGATTGGAGAAACTTTTATCTTTCTGCCTAATTGATTCTTCTTATTTGTTCTGCTATACATTGAAACTTTTTCAATGATTCATAATTACACTTAAACTTGTAAGCATAACCATATTTACTGAACTTTCAGTAAATCATGAAGAATATACTTTATCGTCCTTTGTGGTGGACCTGACCAGTACACATCAATGTGTACTAGATCTTTTCATCTTTCACTTGACTTACATACATATGTAAACAAGGAATTAGTCTTAATTTCCCAAGTGCCAAGATTTTCATACATCATATGATTCCAGGTTTCTATCCAATTGAAACTTGGGCGATTAGAATCTTTCCTTACTTAGAAAAGGTACGACACTACCACAATTGATATAACTAAGAATCAAACCATTTTCAATATTGCTATAAATAGAAACTTATAAACAACAATTTTCACAAATGCTATTACAAGGGAATATAAAATAAAAACAAAATTTCTCTATTTATAGAAGTGCAGAAAAACTTGTCCTTACAATGCAAATACAAATGAAAATTATGTTGCAATCTATTCCTAAGCAATCTATCATAACTCCTAAGAAGCAGCTCAAAAAAAAATCTGATCATTGAACCATGCGATCGAAATCCATCTCTTCGTGATCAGAATCAGCTTACTCTTCTTTCAAGCTTTCTTTCTCTTCTTTGATCCTACAAAACATCAAAATGCAATCTTATCACATCATGTATTAAGAATCTATAAGTAGGAACTTAATAGAGTTAGATAGTGACACTTGGCTCCATACTTCTTTTGACAATTTTCACCATTTAAATGGTGACACGTGTCCTCTTCACGATCCACGTGCCAAATTTTGACGAAAAGAGACATCTCATATTTTTTTCGAAGACAATAGTTTGATGTCCCGAGTATGGCGTTCTAAATTGTGGACAAATGTTTTTTTAACTACAGACAGAACTATGTCAAAAACGCGTTCGAAGTCAGAATTCAGTTTTTTTTTCGGTTATCACGATTAAACAGTTTTTACAAAAGTGTTATATAACTTCGTGATACAGAACTTTAAAAAATGGGATCAAATATTAGGACATTGTCTGATTCCAAAATGTAACACCCAGTTCCAGGTAAGCATCGCTTCTGAGTTATCAGTTAAATTTCTAAGGATCAAAGCCTTGTTCACGACGTGAGCACTTGAGTGTTACGATGTGACGGTGTCTGGGAAGAACGCACATCCCATTGGTTGTCACGATGTGACAACATGTTGGTCATGCCATGATAGCCCTTGCATGTCAAAACCCTAATTTCGAGGATTGTCTCCCTATTTAAGGGAAGTGAGGGCTAGGGTTTACACACCCTTAGCCTCTATCACCTCCCTTCACCCTCAAGAAACCCTAATCCTCCATTTTTTTTTATCTTTGAGATCCTTTTTGGTGATTTGAAGCCTTGAAGAAAAAGAGAAGACATTTTGGTGCATCATCTCAGCTAGCAAGTCACTCTCTTATCATCTTGAGTTGCATTAGGACTCTTGTAAGTCCTCAAGGTCCTACCTTTTTAGCTCAAGTCTTGGGTTTGGTTAACTTTTCTCATCTTTTGAGGGAGTTTGAGTGTTGAAAACTCATAAAGTTGGCAACTTTATGAGTTCTTGTGACTCCTTTGTATCCCTTTGAGTTCTTGTGACTCCTTTGTATCCCTTTTATCCCAAATCTAGAATATTAGTGAGCTTTAGGTTTCATGCATGGGATTTGATCTCATTTTCCTTTCATTTTGACGTAGTTGGTGTTTAAGACATGCATTGGACCTGCACGTCTAAAAAGCTATGATTTTTATGGTGTTATTTGAGGTGGAGAAAGCCTTCTAGAAAGTTTAATTGCTTGGCTTGAAGGATTAAGAGCTTAAGGCATTAAGTTGTCCAGAGCGTTCCTCACGACGTGAAAAGTTGGTTGTCACAACATGAAGAGGGGTTGTTTCACGAATATTTTATCTTCACTCTGCAATGACATGACCAACGGGTGGTCACAGCGTGGCAACTGACTAATGACTCTTGAGTGTTGACTTTGACTTTGACCGTTGACCTTTTGACCAAGTTTGACTTTTGGTAAAATTTAGGGTTTTGGGCTGTAGTTTGAGATTTGGTCCCTGTTTGATGTATAGGTTACATGTATTGCTGGTTATTGGATCTATGATCAATGTTGTTATCTTCTAGACTACGATGTGAGTTTTCTCACCATACTTTGTACTGCAGTATGTGTCTTTGTGTGTAGGATGTTGGTATACTGTAGTGATATGTTAGATTGGTAAATCTGTATGTTTACCTGTACTTACTAGTTATTGATTATTGTCTGCATATGTCGACATAGTGCGGTTTGGGTTGAGACAATACGACTTTGTGTTGTAGGCCAACAAACCCGGGGCAATCCAACTATGAGTTGTGGGCCCAGGGGCAATCCAATCTTAGGACTATGGGCCTGAGGGTAATCTAGTATGATGATTGTGGGCCCGAAGGCAATCCAGGTTTATATTGTGGGCCCGGTATGCATGCATTATATATGTATTGTTGTGTAGGGTATTTTGGAGGAACTACTAAACTTTTGCTTATAGTTGTTGATTTCAATGTTTTCAGGTACTTCTGATGATCGGAGCAAGACGAAGGCGTGATTGCACACATCCTCCTATTGTTTTATGTTTAAGAGATTATCTTGACACTCTGATTTTTATGGATTGATTTGAAATCAATATTTGATTATCTGATGGTTTTATGAAAATATCTTTTAAAAATGAAAAAAAATTGTCATGGTTTTTGGGATGTTACACAAAAACATGTTCAAAAATACTTAACGAAATGCCTAGCTAGCCCTACTGATCGTTTTAAAGTTCATTTACGGGAAAATTAGTTATATTGCTGATTTGTTTTCTTAAAATTGTCATAACTTTTGCGTACGGTCTCCATTTTGGATGTTCTTTATATCCACATAATCGTATTTAAATGCTTTATCCTTTTAGACTATCATTTGCACATAAAAAAAATACTTAATACAAAACTTTTTGTTTTCAATGTACTAATTATTACTTATGTATTGTGAATCGTGTTTAGTTGTCAACGATCTACATCCATCGAAGACTAAAGTGTTATTATGTATGCATGTCTAAGTATAGAAATTTTATTTGCATTAAATGTGTGGAATATGTTACATTAGGTCTATTACAATGTTGGTTCGCGATGGTTTCACGGGCGGATGTTGACCTAATTGTACTGTTTGTGACACTTTGATTCTTTTTCTAATGACATATTCCAATCAATCAAAGAGCTAAATTGTATTTTATCTTATTGTTTTTACTGTTTCATTTTGCATTCATATTGTCATTTGAGTTCTTGTTCAATAATGACACACTACTTGCTATCGTCGGTCCAGTAAGCGTACCAAGTTCTTTTATAGAGATGGGTGCCAGAATTCTTGTATCCGATGGGTTCTTTTAGAGTGTTCTTAATGTCGATTTTATTTGACCGGCCATACACTTTGTGTCTTGTCACTACTGTGGTAACAATGTCATGGAAGTTTTGTCGGTTAACATAAAAGGGTGTTATGATCACCCTTTCTGCTTTTCAACGAGGGATTTTGGCCTTCTTTTTCCGTCTATAACCGACTTTTTACCCACATTCCTTCTTCACTTTGAAACCTCTCATTATTTGTTTATAAGTTTTCATTAAGGTTTAACAATAGTGGTTGATTAGTACCACCCTTTAACAAAAAAAAAGTGAAAAAAACAATACAAACAATGTTGTTATGGTCAAATTAGACAAACTTTTTTTGCTAAAGTTTGTTAAATGTCACCTCATCATTGCAATAGTTAATGGTGAATGTTTTTTTTTTTTTCATAATATCATGACTTTCATAAAAATTAAAATAAAATATAATAATTAACTACAAAATAAACAAAATATAATGATTTAAATGCAATTTGCCCTTTTTATTTTCATATTCATTTTATATTAAGTTTTAGGAATCTATACATTACTTATTTTAATAATTTTATTAGCATTTATAAATTTGCAACTTTTGTCATATAATTTTTTCATTTAAAACAACAATGATATTTCATTCACCATTAATACCTAAAATGATCTTTTACTATCATTTATAATTCCATTCAACCAAAAGAAACTACATTTGTTAATACAACACAACATTCATTCAAAACAACAATGATATGTCATTCAACATTAATCCCTAAAATGATCTTTTACTATCAATTACGATGCTCCTCCAAACATATATCATTTATCCGGACAACACTTAAGGGGAAAGAACATGGTTCCTAAATGAGGCCTACAATTGATGAATATTATGTCGGTTTATCTCCCTCCTGAAAGCCTTGAAGAGATCTATGCCAAGGGAAACGTTAAGCAAATTCATCCCTGCCATACCAAACAAAGCAACTGGGAGCTCCACACCTTTCTCAAACTTGGAAGCATCTTTTACAAGCTTGACAGTAATGAGTACATGAGACCAGAAACGTGCAAATAAAAAGGTGCTTATATTAAAGAACCATTCTATTTTCACAGACTTGCTCTTGGCATCACGTATGCCGGCCATCCGCCTCACTTTCCTCACATGAAGAAAGATAGAATGCAACTGTGGATCACAATCACAATCACAAGCAAACAAGGTTGAGATTCATATTCATATGATTGTTATGTTACGCATGAAAAAATATCACATATCAAAACAAAATAGGACCGTCTCGTACTGCATATGGCATTAGGAATTATGCCAAAGTAACAAAAGGTTAGATGCAAGAAATAGCAATGTACTTTCATTGATCTGTTCCGAGTATGGCGGTTCTAAATTGTAGAAAATCTTTTTTTAACTACAGACAGAACTATGTCAAAAACGTGTTCGAAGTCAGAATTCAGTTTTTTTCCGGTTATCACGATTAAACAGTTTTTACAAAAGTGTTAAAAAAAATTTGTCTACAATTTAGAACCGCCATAATTTGTCTACAAGTTATATAACACTTTCGTAAAAACTGTTTAATCGTGATAACCGGAAAAAAACTGAATTCTGACTTCGAACGCGTTTTTGACATAGTTCTGGCTGTAGTTAAAAAAAATCTGTTTATTAAGCACCCTACTTTATTTCTTCCTATTACAAACATTATACTTTGAAAAATCTAACCAATTACAAAAATGTCATTCAAATACAAAGAAATTTTCACCTGTAGATATCTCACTTTAAATAACAATGTCCAAATAATTTTTTTTTGGAAGTACAACGTTATAAATAGCTAACTTTATGACAATATAATGCTTTCATAAGAAAGAAATGATAGTAGGATGCTATATATAATATTCACATATAAATGAAAGTCTGTTGCTATGTCTTGCATTTAACCCTAAAAATATCAAATTTTTGTCCATCTAAAAAGCTGGAACAGGGACTCGCTCTCAATCTCTCATCTATGTGAAAGACATAATAAATGCCCTCCTTATCCTCATCATAAAAAGTATCCTTAGAAAGCTCGGCGTGTCCAGTCATGTGTCACATGTCAAATTGCATATTTACGAAGCAAGACACATACCTCACATATTAGAGTTAAAATAAGGTAGTTGATTGTGACATTCCGATATAGGGCAAGAGTAAAGCATCCAAGGAGAATAAAATGATGCAATAGGATGGAGGGTATCCAACCACTATATAACCCATACAACAACATATCCAATTGATCGTATGCGAAATAGCCACATGAAATGCACAATGCCGAATATGCCCATGGCCAAGTTGCTTTAACTAGCTGTGAATGCTCAAATAACTCATCTAAACCATTGGATAGCAACTGCTTCACCAAAATGAGCATCACTGTCAAGAAATTTAGTCCATGTTTACTAACTTTATGATTCATATATGCCTACTGTACAATAAATCCCCAATCTTTTGCCAATTATTGTTAAATATAACATGTTGTAGACAAGACTATACACACAACATCAAGTCCAGTGTAATTTTCATTTGATTGTGTGAGTCAAACCTAATACTTGTAAAATTCAAAATTATCATAGGTTTGTTTATGTTTTTCCAATCTTTAAAGTCTCTACGTTGTAAATGCAGCATCCAACTTTTGTTACAATAAGCTTATATTTCCCAAGGATTTCCAAGTTAAAAACAACACATTTGACATTGAAGGTCAAAATTCAACGCATGTTTACTTACTTTACAATTCATATATACCAAATGTACAATAAAGCCTCAATCTTTTGCCAATTGTTGTAAAATACATGCTGTAGACAAAATTAGACACACCATATGCTGCCACTGTGATATGCCAACAAGAATAACGGACACTAAGCAATCAAGTATAATACCATCCTGTCTCATGAATTGTTAATTTGTTTGCGAGTTAAACCTAATACTTTGTAGAATTCAAAATTATGATAGATCAGTTTCTCTTTTACAATCTTTAAAATGTTTCCGTTCTAGTAATCTTTATATTGTAAAAGTAGCATTAAACATTTTCTACTTTATTATTATATTCCCGGAGGATTGCGAAGTAGATTAATTTAGCATCAAATCAACAACCAGGTGCCTCAAAATCTGGGGAATTTGATAACAGATTCAGTATAGAAAATACCTGAAGTGGAGGTAATGGAAGAATGGAGAAGAGAGACACATGTGTTAACCAAAAGAGGATCTCTAGAGATGAATTTACGGCAAACCCAATTGGCGAATTGGTAAAAGGAGAAGCCATAAAGGAGTGGAAGGAGCTCGATACGCTTGTTGAATAGTATTTCGAAGAAGACGGAGACAGCCCACATAACCAGAGTAGCCATGAAGAAGAAGAAAGCACCTGTCGCCTTCTTCATGGCGATGCTCTGCGTCTGCGTCTGTCTACGTCTGCGCGACTAAGTTTGAAGATTTGGTTGTTTTTGTCGACTGTTTGTTCAATTTCATCTAGCGCGCTGAGGATTGACTTGGCTCATTTAGCACCACACCTTTTGGCTTTTGTGGGAATCGCCCTTCACCAGTACCACATTATTGATTTATTAGTTACTTAAGGACTAAGGCTAAACCGAGTACCCACGGTGAGGTGGATGAGCTAGTTATTTTACTACGGCGGGAAAAGACACTCTTTGGTAGGTGAGGTTGGTTCGGTGAGGGCAGAGGGAATTAGGGGTGTAATTGGTACGGTACCAATTTATTTTTCTCTAAACCGTATACCGTACCAACTATAATTGGTATAAAAAGAATTCTACTGGTACCGCACTAAGTATACTCGGTACCAATTTATTTGGCTACCAACATGTTTGGTTGGTACAAATTGGTAATGGTATATATCAACTTCTTTTAATTTTCTATTGTAAGATTTAAAAATAAGCAAAGACATCAGAATTTTGATGTTTAGTATAGAAATTAGTTATGTAGTTCTTTTTGTTTACAAAAGAATTCTACTAAAGCAAAGACATCGGGATTTTGATGTTTAGTATAGAAATTAGTTACGTAGTTCTTTTTGTTTACAAAAGAATTATACTAAAGTAATGTTTTAATTTTGTGTTTTAACGTGGTAATAACTATTGACTAATACAATCAAATGACTAATATAATGTTATTAAAACTGTAAACACTAAACATAATTAATAGTTGAAATATACGATTTCATATATATATATATATATATATATATATATATATATATAATAATAATAATAAATGAATTGGTTGGTACGGTATTACTATGGTATTCAAATTTTTGTACCATTACCGTACCAACATTGATCAATTGGTACGGTACTACCAACCAAACATGTTGGCTACCAAATGTATTGGCTACCAAGTTTCTTGGTTCGGTTGATAACATGTTGGTTGGTTTTCCGTGGTATAATTTTGCTAGCCCTAGAGGGAATCACTATGCAAGCACATTTCGCCTCATTCTCTTTCTTATTTATTCTCCTCTTCAACGGAAATAACTTTTTTTCTTAAAAAAAAAAACATGCTTCCTGTGATGGGACTTCAGAAACTATTTACCAAATGCATTCTAGCCCAACGGTATTCGGTGTTGCTCTCCCTCCTCGAGGTTGAGGGTTCAAGCCCCATCATTGACATAGATAGATTTAAGAGGAAGTTAAGAATGACCCTCTCTCTGTCTATTCAAGGGATGGAAGGGCAGAATCATTTGGTGTCCCCCGGTCAATAATCGGGGCCTAGCAATCACTATTTTATCTCATGTCTTTCTTCGTTCATGGTTCGATATTCTGGTGTCCTAGGCGTAGAGGAACGAAACCAATACATCCCGAACTTGGTGGTTAAACTGTACTGTCATTTCAAGAAAAAAAGACTTTGGAAACTATTTTGAAATTAGTAGAACGTTTCTAAATACGATCAAAATGATAAGTAGGTAAGTATTTCAATCTATATTAATAAAAGAAAACTACTGATATAGACGTAATAATAATTAATAATAGATTTACAAACAATTATTTATTTGGAAATTTACATATTTTGTTTGTAATTGCTAATTTAAATTAATTATGCAAAATGTTTTGAAGATAAGGATAACGTTCTTTATGTGTAGATTACTCATCAAATGATTATTTTGTAGAATGAGATGTTAAACCTTCTTTATGTGTAGATTAATATCAAAATAATTATTTTATAGAATAAAAATTTAAAACCGTAGCATAATTTATTTGTTTGTTTATATATGGTATTTGATGCGACCTTGGCTCCGACCACCGGCTCTCAGAGTGTTTACTATCGTCGGAGGGATCTGCAAAGTCACAACAAGCAAGGTCGTCAACCCGTGTCCCGGGAGGAGGTCCCGGGGAAGACGCTTTGACGGTCAAGTCAATAGGAGATATCTGGATGAGAGTGATGAGAATTGAAAGAGATCGCTTACTCCTCAAGGAAGAACATAGGCCTTTTTATACTAAGGATCCTTGTTGTTCCGTACAGGGAACAAAGATTGCAGTTATGACAGGATCCGTTACTCTGATTGGTTAATCGTGTCCCCTGCTGTGTCGGGGCCAACTATTGGCCCAGACGATAGTTCTCTGTGTTGGGTTTTGAGCATTCTAACACTCCTATGGTGTACATGCAACCGTATAAACCTTGGATCTATGTTTTCTCTATTATACAT